AATGGAAAACTATTCAGCCATAAGAAACAAATCCTACCATTTGCAACAACATGGATGGAGCTGGAGGACATTATGCTCAGTGAAATAAGCAAGGCGGAGAAAGACAAATGCCAAATAATTTCCCTCATTTGTGGAGTATAACAATGAGGAAAAACTGAAGGAACAAAATGGCAGCAGACTCAGAGACTCCAAGAATGAACTAGTGGTTACCAAAGGGGAGGGCTGTGGGAGGGTGGTTGGGGAGGGAGGGAGAAGGGGACTGAGGGGTATTATGTTTAGTACACATGTGTGGGGGTCACGGGAAGAACAGTGTATCACAGAGAAGGGACATAGTGGATCTCTGGCAACTTGCTGCACTGATGTACAGTGACTGCATTGAGGTATGGGTAGGGACTTGATAATATGGGTAAGTGTAGTAACCACATTGTTTTTTCATGTGAAACCTTCATAAAAGTGTATATCAATCACACCTTAATAAAAAATAAAAATAAAAAAAGAATAGGATTATAAACATATAATACTAATTACTTCTGTTAAAATATTTAAGCTCTAAAACCTAATACTGCATAAAGCTTTAGTATATGAGACAGAGTCTATGTGTTAGGGGAAGGAATAAAGAGTGAAGAGGGAACTGGAGAGGTTATCAGACCACCTGGATAGAAGACCAAGTCTCTCCTAAACTAACTCTGTAAACTGAAGAAATCCGTATTAGCTCTGGACTTTAGAATGCCCTGCTATATAATAGATTGATTATCAGACTTTTAAATAGACTGGTGGGTTTCAAGTTAACACACTTCATCTTAATTTGTTTTTTTTTTTTGGCTATAGAATTTTAGTGTTTACTGAACATTTCCCGTTCACATAAAAATAATAATGCAGAATTAATTTTTTAAAGGGAACTGTTATTAAAGGAATTCATTTGAGGAAATTATTTATTTATTAAAGGAAAAATTGTATCTAGAATGAATTTATTAAGGGAAACCTGAATTACAAAAATCCAAAGTCTCAACCAAGTACAATTTTTAAAAACAGCTTTCCCTTTCCTTAGTTCTATAAGCCCATTAACCACTTTCACAGCATAAGGCTAAAGGATGACTAGTAATGTAAACCATAGAACGTAAAAAGAACAAATAATTCATTAGAGTTGTTTTGTATTTTTTTACACAGGGAGTATCTTTAGTTACAAAGAATGGTATTCATCAGAAACATCAAACAATGGCAATGAATGTAAATCATTTTAAAAAGATGAAGACTGATGATTTGAAGACTCCTTCAAAATCATCACTAAATATTGAAGTCAAAAGATCTGCTAAGATACAAGTGAAATAAAAACTACCATTATGATCCAACAATTTCACACCTAAGAGAAATGAAAACAGATGTTCAAACAAAAAATTTGTATGGAAAATTCAGAGCAGCATTTGTAGTAATAGGATGAAAGTATATAAATAATCCAAATGTGCAGTAACTGATGAGTGGATAAATAAAAAGTGGTATATTCATAAAATGGAATATTATTTGGTACTAAAAAGGAATGAGGTACTGAATTCTGTAAGATGGATGAACCTTTCAATATGCTCAATGAAAAAAAAGTCACAAAGGACCACATGTTGTATGATGCCATTTTATATGAAATGTCCAGATTAGACAAATCTACAGATGGAAATAGATTAGGTGTTTGCTGGGGTGGTGGTGGGAGGGAAATGGATTACAAAGTTTCTTAGAGGATGAAACGCTAATTTTAGTTGCACAATTATAAGTGTATAAAAACCATTGGATTATATACTTTAAAACAGTTGAACTTTATAGATGTAATGTGCATTGTATCTCAAGAAGGCTATAAAAATTACAAATTAAAGCGTAACACAGGATGGTTAAGAGTCAGGTTAAGATTTATAGGTTCTGGGTTTAGGAAGCAAAGGTGGACCTGAGACTAGATTTAGGGCTTCAAGTTCTAGAAGAAGCCAAGTAATAAAGGTTTCTCTACCACAGCCTTCTGGGAATTGGGACTTCAAATTAATTTCCTTGTAGGTCAGAAGATGAATCAGTTCTTCTAATCCCATTTCCTTAACTGCCTCCCAAAACTCTAAACAAAGTTTACCACCTATAGGATAAATTTACTAAGCCAAACCCTCTACCCTCAAATCTTCTAATCTGTTGTATTTAACAAAGTTAAGAACCCTTTGTGTCACATTATGGGGGAATTTCAGATAATCCAACAAGCATACATATCTAGGGAAAATGGATGGGGGTGGAGGAATACACAATCAGAAGACTAAAATCTAAATTAGATCACAGGTTGGACATTTGATGTGCAGTAAGAACTTAATACTATTTCCCCATGTATGTGAAAATAACGTTAATTTTAGTCATTTCCATCACCCATAATTGACTTAAAGGCTCAGAAAGATGACAATCTGTAACAACTAATAGTACTTAATTTAATGCTTGTACTTAATAGCTAGGAAAAGTGGCAAAATACACCCCCAAGTATTAAAAATAACCTGGGCCTAGCTTACCTGACTTTAAAGAAATCCCTGTACTTCTCTCAACTGCAATTTAATCACCAAATCCAAAAGACTGTAGGGAAGTTGTAGGATTTTTTTTGACAAGACCCTACAAAATCCCAATTACAGCAATAAAAACAATTGTTTGGGAACTATTCCCCTCTAAGTCCACTCATCCCAGATAAGCGGGATTCTTTTGGCTAGGTAGCTTTGCATTTAATTGACTAAAAACAAACCAAAAAACCTGAACCCTGACCACTTTTAACTTAAGTCTTGGGTAGCTCTTTGTTAACTTACCTTTAAAATCACCTACCAAAAATTCTATTCACTTTTCCCCTTAAATCTATTTGCTGCATCTCAGTACTGCCCCCTTCCAGTGTTCTCAACAGTAGCCCGTGAAGAGAGCTGCAATGACTCGATGGATAAAGAAGTCACAGGCGAGCCCAGCCCAGGCCACAATGTGTAACACTGCACAGACCAACTCCAATAGTCACAGTGATAGTCGTGTCCTCTGAGACCTGCCACCGGCCAGGATCTAAGATAAACAGCCCGTGCATTACATAATCACAACAAACTAAGATATTATTGTTCTGTTCTTACAGACCGGCTCAGAAAGATTAGGGCACCTAACCTAAGCTCCGCCACACATCGACACGGCGAGACCTCGATTCACACTCCAACGGTTTGTTTTGTGTTGCGTTCTCTCCCGCTCCCCGCCCCCCTCCCCGAGACCAAACTCCAGTACACCGCTAAGCTCGCGCCCCTCGGGGGCGCTTCTCAGAAACGCGAGCCTCCCCCGTCCCCCGGCCCAAATCCACAGGTGCGCCGCAGGAGCCGCCCGCCCACCCCTGAGGTACGGACGGCCCCTCAGGCCCAGACGGGGCTCGCTCCCTGAGCCTCGCTCCAGGCCGGGAGCTCCGGCTCGCCCAGCCCTTCCGACCCCTGCGCCCCATTGTTCCCGATCTCACTCACCTCAGAGGATGCCGGCGCAGGCCCGGCTGGGGCGCTCGTCGCAAGCTCCCGGCGGCCCAGAAAGCTAGGTCGGTGACGGCAGGACCCACGAAGGCGAACCCGGCGACTTCTCCGCCGGCCCTCAGGAGCGGGAGTAGGCGGGGGCGCTTCACCCTCGCGAGACAGCGGGGACCCCGGCGGCTGCTGCGACCCCTATGACATAAAGCGCTCATCACCAATGGCAGCTTGGGGGCGGCAGCAGAAAGTAAAACCCACTCCGCAACCCCAGGCGCGTCAAAACACAACGCCCACCTGCGCAACGCATGCGCAGTAGAATAGCGACGACCCTGAGGGCGGGTCTTAGGGACTCGCTCGCCCGCCCTCTAGCCGCACCACCCTGCCTACATTGAGAGCGACGTAACCCTCCGAAACTGGAGTCACTACTACCATCATTCTTGTTACTACTACTCTCTGGGGGCAACAGGGCACTTCTTAATGTTCGCTTCTATCTTACTCGGAAAACACGATACCCAAAATCGGTCTTAATTTAAACATCACCAACTGCGGGAAGTTACAAATTACCTCATGTATACGATAAAGGAGCTGAGTTTACACGGAGGTGAAGTGACTTTACCTCTGGTTGCAAAGCTAAGGAATGATCTCCAAAGCCAGAGTCCAACCAGTATCCCACACAGTCTTGCGAGAGAGATCTACTCCAGTATGGAATTACCTCAGAGAACAGGGCCCTGGATTCTCCCCAAAACAGATAACGTTTTTCTCTCAAAGAAATGCTTCCCCACTCTACAAAATCTGGATTAAAATCCTGTTTAGCTGGTACCTGAGGTGTACAGAGACGGAACGTCTGAGCCTAAAGCGGCCCATTGCTCCATACTAGCCTGAGGTCTCAGCTGTGAGCGTCCCACACATTCTAAAGCTGAACTCGGTACAGCTGCTCGCGAGCCAAACCGCCGCCCTTTGGCTTAATGTTTGATACGTGCTACAGTTCTAATAAACACGTAATAAACGCTCAAGACACACTTCTCGATTGGCAGGTACATTATGCCAGGCCATGCGCGACACCCTCTTCTTGTGTCACTTACATGAACAGGCCACTGTTCTCCAAGACTTGTTTCTTCAAAACGGGTTCAATTAACAAGGATTCCCACACGATTTGTTATATGAAAGTAAATGGTATTCTTCTCAAAGATAAATATACGAACGTCTATTTACATTATGTGGGAACAGATGCGGGAGTAAATGTTAATTCTTCCAGCGTTAGACGCCGGCCTAATATTTAAAACGTGGGGTATTTTTTAAATCAAACTTTTAAATTCACAAGACAGCACATTATCCTGTATGAATATTACTTTGCGATTAAAATAACACCAGCTAACGAGGCATGCCCATCTAAGCGGCAAAATAACCATTTTAAACATATTTTCTCATTTATCTCGTCCCCTCCCTGTAAAGCGAGGAAGGCCCCCAAACACATGAACCCGCCTCCGACTCCGGGCGGAAGAAGCCGGCCAACCGACGGGAAACGCTTCTGGAGGCCGGTGGGCGGGCGTCCGTGCCCGGCTGAAAGATGGCCACCGCACCTCGGTAGCCGCCGCCCGGAGGTTACTCTAAGGCCTGCAGTGTCCACCCGTTCTGCGGACCGCCGCCGTCTCCTTACCATGGAGCCAGTGAATCGCCGTACCCTAGACTGGATTTATTCGCTGGTAAGTCTCGGGTCTGGAGGGGTTTCACGGTGACCACAACCCAGGCCCGGAGGCGAAGGCCCCCGATTTCCTGAGCGCCCACAGACTCCAAAACCCATTCCTTGAGTTAAGGATTTCTCACCTCGACTCCGCCTCTTCCTGGGGACACGCTCTTCCGCTACTTACGTAAGGGCTGCTGGGTGTGCTCGCCACCGGGACCCCATTGTTTCGTTTATCAATGTAATTCTCACCTTAGCAACGCACACGCACCGGATGGGGGCGGGGCAAAAGTACCACTCACGTTACAATTTTTTGCTTTTACTTCCCCTCTTTCACTTTTTAGTTGCTCCTTGCGATCGTATTACTCTCCTGGGGATATGTCATCTATGCATCAACAGTAGCCGCCCGACGACAGCTAAGAAAGGAATACCCAGACAAAATCTTTGGGATGAATGAAAATTTGTAATGCTTTGATTTAATTATACTCAAATAGTTCTTTACCTCATGCTTATATGACTCTTGTCCAGATTTAAATCCATAATACAAAGTTTCCAAATTTATTTTTGCATACAGTCCTTTATAACCACTAGTATACAAATTTTTCAGATACTTGGAGGTTTGTCTTTTACGCTCTCAGTTAACAAAAACCAGGCAAACTCGATCTGACAGCCTGTATTAGATCATAGATGGAATAACATGTTTTCCAATGTAGTTTCTAAAGTACAATTTTTAAAATATCTCAGAAAGCCTTCTTTAAAACATTTGTTCTTGTATTTATGTGCATACCTTCACATAGGATTAAGTACTGTGTAAGAAAAAAATCTATCAAAGTGACTACTTTTCTACATCTTGTTTTCCAAGTCAAGAAAGTCCAGAAAAAGTAGATGATCCCTCATGCCATTTTTTAGCACGTGCAGTTTTTAGTTATTATTAAGTAATTTTAAAGAGTCTCAAATCAGACAGTGTTTGGGAAGAAATAGACAACATATATCTGAGAGTAAACTTTATTGAAGTTATCTTTCCAGAAAATATATTCAGTAAATATGGAAATGCAGCAACAAACTTGGGTCCATACCCCTTTGAAATTTGGAAGTAGTCTTCAATGATGTTGATCAGGAGATTCTTTCATTGGTGGAATTACTTCTCCAGTTTCCAGAATTGTATCACCCTAGGAAAACAAAGATGCATTAAGAGAAAAATCCTGTCTGTGAAGTGGTAGTTCCACTTGGTCAGACCTCACATAGAAGTTTAGCTCTGGCATTCACACTTTAAAAGGGACTTGGACAAATTAGAAGCTGTCTAAAGATGACTAACCAGTATTCAATATCTTATGGTATAAGTGAGCAAATAGGGAACATTTCACTCAAACATAACAGCCAGAAGGGACATGAAAGTGGTCTTCACAAAGTGATAAAGTGGTAACGTTTGTTTGCATGGCCCCAAGATATAGGAGAAACCCTAGGAAGAAGTTAACAGGGAAACATTTTCAGTTCAATATAAGGAGGTAATGTACTCCCAGCAATGTGTTAGTTAACTACCAGTTTACTGCTTGGTTCACATGTAAGAGACAGAGTGCAAACTGGCTGGGCGGCTGGTTCAGGTCTTTTCAAACCCAGATACATAATATTAGGCAAATTACTTAACTTTAGTTTCAGCTTTCAGACTCTGTCAGCCTGACAATCTGTGAATGAAAGGATAGAGTAGAATTATCCCCATCCCCACCCCTGCCACTCTGTGACCGGGTACTACTCAGAACTATCATCTGATAAAGAAATACTTTTATTATGTTTAAGCCATTATAGATTTTGAGGAGAATCTGTTACCACAGTTAGCATTACTCTGACACACAAATCAGTACCATGAAGTAGTATAAATGCTTCTGTAGTAAAAAACTGAACAACATGGCACTGGCTTAGAAATGTGGAGCTAAGGACACCGGCACTGGAGGACAAAAAATGGAAACAAAAGGCAGCAATAACTTGTTAACAGACTGTCTAATGTACTTGAGGTTCTAAAAGAAATAACTGAAAAAAAGTTACCATATGTGTTTGACTACCTGCCTTAGGATGTACTTTAAGAAATATGAGCTCAGGAAAGAAGTGGCTGATTGAAAAGAAGAAATAAAAATGGAGATAATGAAAAAATTCAAAACTGCAGTATCAGAAAATCAGGTTGCTTCTAAAATCTCTAAACAGTGAAAGTTAACATTAATGAGATTCTGAGAAACAGAAGCCCAATAAAACTTAGTAAACAGAGGTTCTCATCCCTATGGAAAGATCACACTGAAGTGAAAGTAGCCTTTTAACCAATCTGTTCCAGATTCCTCTACATAGGTGCCACCAAGCTGAGAGGCAGCTGCATGAGGACAAAGAAGTGGGAGCACTTGGTAACTATGCAGAGACAGCACAGATGCATGTGGGACTGACTAGAAGCAGAATCCTACCAAGTAGGATTCTTTCCATACCTGCCAAATGTTGTGGGAATAGGTGCTCAAAGAAACCAAACATAAAGACAATGAGAGCCTGTGAATGGCTGAGCGTAAAACAACATCTGGCATGCAACCTTCTGTGCAGGAGGCAGATTTTAAGAGCTGTACAACCCTAAGAAGGCTATGCTCCCCAGAACCCATTTTGGATATGGCCTCGGTCGATAATAGAAAAGAACCCCCAGGACAGCTAGGGGCCGGGAAGGACAATGAACAAAGGTGTTCCTTCCAGAAAAAAAAATCAGTGCTCATTCAAGTAACTTCATGCACATAGGGATTAGAAGTCTGTATAATGTTTGACCACTGGGATTTCAGAATTGCCAAGAACCAATGACTGCTGTGCTGTCGGAATTTCACCACTGAAAATGGGTGATTCTGAGTCAGGATTGGGGTAGACAGAGATACAGTTAATTTGTCTTAATTCACTGATCCTCAGGTATCCAAGCAAAGTCATATCTAAAACTGACAGGTACTAGTGTGCCCTGTCTGAGATTCTGGATTTGGGGCTGGTTGTCCTGATAGAATGGGACTTTGGGATTTCTCCCTAGGGAAGGTATGATGTTATATGTGCGGGGAGAAGAAAGCAGCCATTTGGTGACTAGAAGGATGGATTCTAGCAGAGACTCCAGGCATGGGAAATACAAAAAAGCATACAGATATTTCCGACAATGAGAATGAGTTCTGGACAACAGTATTTGAACAGAAGTGATGTAAACTACTTCCAAGCTTAGACCTTGAAATCATCCTGAGATGTCCAGTCCTCTCTTCCCCTAACATGACCTTGGAAGCCTCATATTCCAGATGGTGTAACTACAAGACTGAGAAGGACCACCTGATACTCACTAGTGTGTAATGTCAATAAGAAATAGATTCTTGTTATTTCTGGTGTTTTGTTACACCACCAAAATTGGGGGATTTGCTATTGCCTACCCAATTCTAACATTTATACAGATGTGCATTCTTCAGGTCCTCAAAGGGGTCAATGGCACAGAAAAAGAAAGAAACATGGTGACAAAAACACAGAAGTAGGAGAAGCACTGGAATCATTACATAGTCTTCTAAAGACAGCCCTCATTTTCCTTTGAACAGTAATAGCAAAATAAAAATCAGTGATAAATATATATATATATGGGAGAATAAATTACCCAACTGTTTATACCAGCCTATTTTGAGACTAGCTAGGTCCTGACACAACCCATTATACAAAATGAAATACAAAAGAAATTCTCTACTATTTCCTAAAGCAGGGGAGTTCCAACAAGAAGGGTTAGTCAATTTTGGTTCTCCCTAAAATTACCTTCTGTTGTGGTAGATAATGTATTATTGTGACTGTGTCATTTGATTGAAGCAAGAATCAACACTGAGTTTAATTTTTTTTAGTTATAGAACTTAGAGACTGATGATAGTTCATTATCTGTGATTAAATAGGTCTAAGAACATGAAGTATTTTACTATGCTGATAACTTCAAAACCAATCAGTAAATATTTCAACTGACTACTCAGTAATCTTTTAATGATGAAAACACTCATTTTAAATTAGGATATTAGCTTATAAATTTGTTTCTAAAGCTTAAAGCACATATTAGCAGATTTTAAATGAACAGATGGAGGAGGTTAAGATCAAATTGCCTTGAGAAATGATAGCTTGAAAATAGTAACAGAGGAATTCAGTGCTGAAATGAAGTATCTGGTCAGGCTGGTGCCCTAAATCCTTAGCCCTACACGAAATGAAATGGCACCAGTGAAAAACTGTTGACATCTTTAATTCACTGGAGGACTACAAAGGTCATACAATATGTTTTACAGCCTTCCTGAAAAGAAATGGGCCTACTTCCCATTTTTAACTAACTGCTATCTTACACTATTTTCAATTTTTTTTTTACAAGAATATATGAAACAGGCACTTAAACTGAGAGCGAAGAAGAAAGGAACATTTAGTCTAATGATCACCTGGATCAGGGAAAGGAGAGAGAAAAGTAGTGAACAAAAGAAAAATCAGAATTTTTAAGACTTACTGGGAATATTCTGGGCTTCTTTCCAACAATGGCATATGGTTTTGTCTGCAATAAAAGTAATGCTCTGTTAATAATGGTTTTAGAAAAAAAAATGGTTTTAGAGGTTCTTCTGAAATAAAATTAATTATACCCCTATTTTTAACTTAAGCCCAAAACTTTCACCAAACTCCATACTCATATCCAACTGTTTACTCAAGATCTCTACTTGGCTATCAAATAAGAATCTCAAATTTAACCAGCTCCAACACTTAACTCCCCTCAACCCCAAACTGTTCCCTATCACAGTCAATGGCACTTTCATCCTCTAAATTATGAAAGCCAAAAAGCTTGACTCCTCAACAGATCCATTTGATTCTACCTCCAGATTATATCCTGAAACTAACTGCTTCTCACCACCTCTAGTACTACTACCCTTGCCCAAACCTTTATCATTTTTTTACCTACCAGTCTCCTGGCTTCTGCTCATGCCCTCCTACAGTCTGTTCTCCACACTACAGGCAGCGTTCAGTGATTACGACGCAGGACTCCTCAGTCTCATCATTCTTAGAAAGCAAACATCTTCACTGTGATCTCTAAGCTCTTACATAATCTGGCTCTTGGCTACCTTTCTAATTACTACTACCCTTTCTCTCTCATTGTACTGTAGCCACATTGGCTCTCAGGCCTAATTAAATTAGCAGCCCATGCCATTCTCTTTTACCCTGCGCCTGCTTAGTTTTTCTTCTATAATTTATCACTTCCTTATAACATTATATACTTCTTTGTCCATTTATTTCCAATCTCCAAGACTAAACATTTCATGAAGGCAGGGACTCAATCTGCTTTGTTCACTGTTGTCTCTCTGTGTTTAGATCAGTTCCTTGCACACAGGAGATGCTAAATAAATATGTTAAATAAATGTACTTATTAAGCATAGACATCTGCACAATATACCACACCAAAAAAACTCTTCTTGAAAGATTATTTGCATGATGGAGGGAAATTGGATCCAAAAGCAGGAGAGAATTTCAGAATACAATGTGAGAACATTTAAGTATATTTTAAGTACTATGGCCAGAGG